TTTTATGCTTCTCCTGAGTCTTTTATTTGATGATCAAATTTTCTTTTCAGCTCTGGTCTTTTCATCATGAAAATTTGAAAGTCCCCCCATTTAATTGAATGTCCGTCTTTTGCCCTGCAATTCTTGGTTGTAATCCAAGCTCCTCTGCCTTCTGGAATATCATATTCCAAGCCCTCTGATCCTTTAATGTTGAGACTTCTAAGTCTTATGTAATCCTGACTGTGGCTCCTTGATACTTTTATTTTCTCCTTGTCCTGATAATTCTGGAATTTATATACAATATTCCTTGGAGTTTTCATTTTGGGATCTCTTTCAGGAGGTGATTGGTGAATTCTTTCAATTACTAGTTTACACTCTGCTTCTAGGATATCAGGGCAGTTTTCCTTGCTAATTTCTTGAAAGATGCTGTTCGGGCTCTTTTTTTTTGATAATGGCTTTCAGATAGTCCAATAATAGTCCTGGTATTTTAGTTTATTAATAATAATGGGTAATAGGAGAGCATGACCCCAGCATTAGACTATATCTGCTTCCTGAGGAACAGCCTATCTAAGCATGGAGAGGCTCTTTGATTATGGCAGCTGTGGGAGAAGTGGACAAAAACTCTCCCCAGATGGCCCCCAGAGACTGACTTCAGCAAGTTTCCTGAGATTGACAGCTGCCAGTGAGCCTCCTTGCCATCATCACTTTCGTATCACTTCCTGAACACCAGCCCTGCCCTCATGCACCACAAACTTCCCTGACATATTTAATACACATAGATACTCTGTTCCTTAGAAGCAGCCCTGCTCAAAGTCATGCTGACTCCATCTCGTTATGCCTCACCCATTTTGCTGTCACTGACCCCTAGTGAACTACAAGCCCAACTGTAGCAGCTAGTGTCCTTCATTGTCTGTCTTCTCCTTTTATTGCTACAAAAAGACTTAGCTGCTGAAGGTGGAGGATTCCAGAGTCCGGGGAAAGCTCTCCCTATCTGACCTGACAAGCAGTTTACTTTGATTTTGTGAAACTAGATATATTAACACAACTCTCTTATTCATCTCCCGCAATTAATAATACATATTTTCAACAAGTATTCTATTCGTTTTTGTATAACCACCTATGTTTTATGAATAGCCCTCTTTTTCTCCTTTGTTTCATACAATGACACATTAAGTAATATTTAGTTTATAAATGTTGCCCTAAAAATTTGTATATAAGGAACCTTTTACACCAGGCTCATTGTAGATGCCTTCCACATTGCTATCTATCCTGGCTGGCTGGAAATAGAAGGCTTCTTGTTCCCCTTTTAATTGAATCCTTACTGCTATTATCTGGCCTTGACCTCAGAAACCCAGATTGGTGAGTACTAACCCTCTTGGGTCCCCCCAAATTTCCCTACACAGACTACAAAACAAAGAAAGATACAAAAAGACTCGTCCTGTGCAGTGAGAGTGGCAGAAAAGTGGGCAGAGGATGCTCGAGCATATAGTCTTTAGATCATCTAAAAACATCAACAGAGCTGTTGGTATTCTAAATGTGAGACCCTTATTGGGTGACCAACCAATGGCTTTTCTGCCAGAGGAAGCAAATCATAGCAATCTTGACATTTCCCTTGTAAATGAAACCAGAAGAGAGAAGGAGATGAAAATTAAATAGAAGGCTGGTTCCCAGGTTCTCCTTGGAGAGAACTTACTTTTATTCGATGTCCAAAGGCAACAAGAAACATGATTTCATGGGCTCTTTGGTCATCTCCTATTACAGTGCTCTAGCTAAGCTTTTGCAAGATCACAATGGGAATAATTGCAGCATATACACCAGCATCTTTTGCAGAGGATGAGGAGGTAGAGAAATTATATGAAGGACTTTATCAGACTCTCCAAATTAAATTGACATATACTTTAATAGTTGATGATTTCAGTGCAAACGTAGGCATAAGGGAAAATGTTGATATGCCTATAAATCATGAATCCTTTCTTTGAGAAAGTGAGGAAGGACTGTGTATGTTAAGCACCGACTAATGTCATAAAATGTAAATGATAGGAAATGATTGGTTACCAATGTGGCAGTCATTTCCAACCATCTAACCATGTACCACACACTTGTGAGAGGAAAGATTAAAGTCAGCATGAAACTACAATAATAATAGATAGCATTTAGTAACCCTTTAAGGTTAGTAAAGTTACCTCCTTTGATCTTCACAAAAACCCTGGGAAGCAAGTTCTATTATTGCCATTTTAGAGAGGGAGAAAGTTTGGCTGAGAGACATTAAGTGACTTGTCCAGGGTCACACAGATAGTAAATATCTGAGGTAGGACTCTAAGTCCGGTGTTCCTAACTGCAGGTCCAACACTCTTTCCTCTGCCACTGAGCTGCCTGAAGAGTCAAAATGAGAAGAGACTAGAACAAATCTGAGGTCCTAATGTTGCTTTGCCTTCCTCATTTGCCTCCTGAGATTCAGGGCACCTGAGGGATGCCTTACATGGAAGGGAAATGGAGGGAGGTGGCATCAGATTCAGGACTGCTGCTAGTATTTGAAGCTTTGCACTTGTGTGGCTGAATAGGACTATAATTCATCCTGGGAACAGATGACCTTGGGCCTGATGGGAATAAAGAGCCAAGGGACTTCCATCCCTTTTGGATACTGTTTCCCCAGTGACAGAAGTTGCTTCCTATCTATTTCACTCACTGGACACTTCACTTTCTGATTCTGAGCTGTTCCCCTTACCAGGAATTCTCTCCCTCTTCATCTCCACCTGCTGGCTTTCTTCAAGTCTCAGCTAAATCCCACCTTCTGCAAGAAACTTTTTCCGGACTTTAATCTTAGTGCCTTCCCTCTGAGACCACCCTTCAATTTATCCTGTCTGTTATCTTGTTAATACATATTTGTTTGCGGGTTGTCTCCCTTTTAGACCATGAGCCCCTCGAGAGCCAGGACTGTCTTTTGCCTTTCTTTGTATTCCCAGTGCTTAGCACAGTGCCTGGTAAACAGTAGGCACTTAATAAATACTAGTTGACTGGTTTCAGGAGGATGCAAAAGGCTGGTGTTTGTAAATATTAACACCATATCCTTCCCTTTTTTCCCCTCTTCCAGCCTCCTGGTGTCTCCTTTTTCCTCCTTGCCAAGTGCCTAGTGTCCAAAGGCCCCCACAGTGGTACCACTCAGGCTGCCATATCCCCACAAAAGTTTTCTCCAGACTCCAAAATACCTCTCCCTCCTACTCTCCCCCTTTGAAAATACCCATTCTCTCATTGTGGTGTATAATGGTATAATCTGACTAAAGGAATTATCCCTTAACCCTCTCTGGGGAATTTAGAGCTTCGTGGGATTATAGGCATAGTGACTAACTGAAAAATTTCAGGCAGTCAGGAGTTGTTGTTTGTGTTCCCCCCCCCCCCCCGAAGGTCTACTATTTGAGACTCTTAGCTACCTGGCTTCATGAGTAATGGGAATTTTAGCATCTTCACAGGGGCCTCAGCAACTTTTTTCCTGATCCTCTCCCCATAGCTAGTTTCAGAAATGGATTCCAGTTCATATTTCCTTCAGCACAACTGCTTTCCTCCCCTCTCACCCCAACTTCTCTGTTCTTCTAGCATTATTGGAAGGAAGCTGAAAGAGCATGTGGGGCAGGTGAAGTTGGCCCCGATTTCCTCGGGATGATGCCTGGACCCTTATTTGGGATCCAGCCTTGGCAAAGCCCTTTCTGGCTCCAGTACCACCAGACCAGGGCAGTTGTTTCTTGAGAGCTGTGGTGGGATTTGGAGGAGCTGGCGGTCAGGAATGCTACAGGTGGGATTCCTGCATTTAGGAGACTGGAACTACATCTCTAGGGTCCTCTTTTAAGATTCTAGGATTTTGTGACACATCTTCTTTTCCTTGAATTTTTGAGGACTGAGTCTGGCTGGGGCTAGGGTGGGCTGACTCAACACTCTTCCAAAGATCTCATGTTTATTAAGAAAGGTGCTAGGCAGTGAAGAGAGATGCCTCTCAGGCTGGTCTCCCAGTAAGTCAGACCTGAGGCGTCCAAAGACATCCTTTTTCTTCAAGGATAGATGCCTTCCTCTATAGAGGAAGATGGAGGGCATCCACTGTGAACTTATCTGTGTTACCTTGGGTGAGTCCCTTCCCCTCCTTAGGCCTCAGTTTCCTGCTCTGTAAAATAAGAGGGTTAGACCATGACCTACTGAGGTCTCTTCCAGCTCTAAATCTATGATCCTATGATCTAGTGATCCCTTCATAGTTTCTTCCCTCCACCTCAAAACAGTCTCCCAGTCTGGTATCCTTGGTTACAGTTCCTTGGAAACTGGAGATGTAGAGATTGCGAACCATAAAAATGGTAAAGTGGAAAGAGCCTTGGATCTGGAATCAAAGAATATGGGTTTGAATAAGGACTTTGCTACTCACTAAAGGGTATGACCTAAGGCAAGTCATGTAACCTTCCTTGGCCTCAGTTTCCCCCTCTGTAAAGCGAGGGGGCTAGACTAGAGAATCTCCGAGGTCCCATCCAACGACTCCCCAGCCGATGTCCAGCGGCTCTGGCCGCTCGCCCCCTTCTTCTTCACACCATTGCCCCTCCCCCTTCACGTTTGGAGCGCGCTCTTCCTCCCACCTCCCAACAAGCTACTTTTTCTTCCAGGGCCCCTCCTCCTCCTCGCCCGCAGCTGGTGGGCTCGACCAACGAGAAAGGGAGTCCTCCGGAGCGTCCTAGAGCGGAGCCGGAAGTGTCCTCGGAGGGAGAGAAGGGCGCGACGGCGGACTCGGTAGTCCGCGCCTCGCCCAGCCTCAGCCCAGGTGCCATTGTCCTTTCCCGCCTCAGGTGAGTCGGCTTTGGGGTGCGAGAGCTGCCTCTCCCTCTCCTCCCGGACGCATTCCCCCCTCTTCCCGGGCTTGGCTCCCCACCCCCGGAGCCCACGGAGACCCTCGGTCTCTTCCCTTGTCTCTCTGGCCCCCTCCTCCCCGCCCCCCCCCCCCCCCCCCCGCTGGCCTCCCCTAGCCCACGCCATGCGGCTTCCCCCCCCCCAACCCTTTGCGCGGTCCAGTCTCGCGCTTATCCCTCTCCCGCTCCGCTTCCCCGGCCTCCCTCCCCACTACAATTGCAGACCCCGCCCTTACTGCCATGAGAGCACCAGTTTGGCGGGAGCGGTGCTTCCTGGCGTGGAGGTAAGGCTGGACAAGTATATCGAGGCCCGATGTGGGGAGGGCCCTGACTGACGAGATTAAGGAGTTTAGAGTTTATTTCTCGCTGCGTGCTTTTGGGTAAGTTACTTAGTATCTCTTAGCCTCATTTTCTCACCTGTAAAGTGGGGAGAATAATACTTTGCAAAGTTTGAAAAATTAGATAGTAAACTGTAGAGGGCGGCGTTAATATGAGCTATAATTATTGTTATATGCCCTTCCTCATTCTCCCATTAAGGTCGATGGCCTATGTGATAGGGCTCCCTACCCAGAGTCTACCTTTATTCTTCTTTCGTTGCTCAATAAATCTCAGCCTTTGTATTTCCACTATTTAGGGGAACTTGAGGTCCTATTCATTTGCTTGGTCCTCTGGGTCCTGTCTTTTGTACGGCAAAGACTCATCTAATATATCTCTTTGGTAAGTTTGAATTTTGGTATGTCTTTATAAATATTAAAGTGCTATATAAATGTGGTCTTTAAAATTATTAACAAATGCAGTTTTACTGAGTACTCTATAGGGCTACAAAAGAAGTAGGAGATACTGGCCAATATTTATGATCTAGTTTGGGACAGTAGCAATTATATTTATCCAGATCATATATTCAGAGAACTTTAGAGGTAGAAGGGAGCCCAAAATTCATCTTGACCAGACTCTTTGTTTTTATGATTAAAGAAGCACATTCAGAGAGATTAGAGTTTTAGCGAAGGTCATACAGCAAATATTTGATGTAAGTAGGGGAGAAGGTATCTGTAGATAATAATACCTCTAAATAAAATTTAGTTGCCAGGTATCTTTGTGTGGAGGTAATGTTGTTAAAAGGCATTTACCTTAAATAGTTGAACAAAGCTTCCTTATGAAAATATTAGCTTTTGTCCCCACATTATAAAGCCCATTGGAATGGGATTAATTACACTGAAGCCCCTTTAAGATCTTAACGTTGCCTCTTAATTTGTCTACAAAGGGCTGAGTTCCAGGGACTGGCCTGAAGAATCCTTAATTAAAACAATTCCTTATGGTGGACAAAGGTGGACTCTGTAATTACAATAGGTAACTATAATTTACTTACTTGTACATGTTTTGTATAGTGAGTTTGTTGTCCTCTAAAAAGCTGACTGTGATATGAGTAGTAAACCATTACTGAGAGCTTATGGGGCACATGAAGGGTAGGTTTTGTGGTCCTAAAGTATTAGTCGATCAACATTTGTTAAGAATCTACCTTGTGTCTTGCATAGGAGCTGGGGATATAAATACAAGTCAGTTGGTCTCTAATCTCAAGGAGATTAGTATTAATAGTCTCATGATGTTCTGCCTTCCTTAACTAATCCCCCATGCCTGTGTTCAGAACACAATCGTTATAGTCCTTGTAGTTAAAAAACTGAAATCATTTTGAAAGCTTTTTAGAACCATTTTTATTTTGGTAGTTATAACTGTTAAAGGGTCTTCAGACTAGAATCTCATGTTTATACAGTTCATTTCAGCAAACACTTATTAAGCTCCTACTATGTACAAGGTACTGTGCTAGAGATAAAAAGGACCAGCATTTATCCAAAGAGTATTTACACAATTGAGTATGCTTCAATCAACTTACTTTTCCAATAGAAAATAAGAATTAGAATTGAAGCCATGTTAATTTAACTTTTCCTTATTTTTAAGTGTGTGTTTGGGGAGGGAGGCAGTCCTTTTAAAGCTCACTTTTTCTGTTTTACTAAGGAAATAACTCTTATCTTGTGAACTTTGGGGATATTGTCACCAAAGATTCTTTTGTCATGTTGCATCATAGGTTTAAATGGCATTAATATTGTGATCCCTCATCATATAACTTTCCCTGGCATCCTAAATTCTCTGACTTTGAATTCTGCCTCTGGGAATCATGTTTGTCACGTCAAATATCTTCATCGAATGCATCTATTTCATTACTTGAGTATTGGTATAAATGGATTTGGGAGGGTGAGGTGGATTTTTTGTTTTGTTATGCGTAGAAGTCTTGAATTAAACCTTATGGCACAGGCCAGCATTTTATTTTAGGGAAACTTAGCTTACCAACTTCCAGGACACCTAACTTAATGAATTCTGTGCCTGGTGCCATTTTTCTCCTCTCATCTCCTGCTTTCATAATTGGAGTCTTCAACATATTGGTATGCCCTCAAACACCATAACTTCCCAGTTTACTCATTTTCCATGACCTACTCCTTCATCCTACCTCAGTTACACATAGAAATGGTCATACGCTTGATTTTTCCATCATACTTAAGTGTTGCACTTCCATATTAATGAACTCTGAAATTCCTTTATTTGATCATCATCTTTTGTCATTCTGTCTTTCCCTTTGTCTTATAATCCCTAATCCTGTTCTTTATTCTCATTGTGACTACCAATCCCCCTACCCCTCTGTTCTTTCCTAGGCTTATTACTCCTACCCTGGCTACATTTTCCTACCTTCCAGATCTTGACCAGTTCAGCTCTTCACTATCTTCTACTTTTAGTCTTTGCCCCCTTTTTCTTATTACTAATCTTGCCCTGCCAATCTTCAATCTCAGATTACTCTCATTGTCCTTTGGCTTTGCTCCTATTTATGTGTTGCTGAAAGAAGCTAGAGAAAATCACAATTCTGCTGACTGTATCTACTAAAGATTTATATTACATAATTTCAACTGAGCCCTCACTGTGACAGAGCAATCCTTTTACACCTCCCTAATGGAGTCACTGTTCCACTCACCACAGTGGCTTTTCCATTCCAAACCTTTTTATTCTTCCTTAATCCTCTCACAGCTCCCCCTCCTTTAACTCTTTCAGCTGAGAATCTTGCCTCATTTCGTTGAAAAGCTTGAGGCCATTCACTGAGAGCTCCTTCTCCCCTCCCCTCCAGATGGTATCACCCAGATGCCTTCCTCCACTATTTACTCTTCACCCTGTCTCACATGAAGAGATGGACCTTCTCCTTGCCAAGATAGAACCCCTTTACATGCACCCTTGACCCCATCCTATGCTGTCTTTTCCAGCAAATTTCCCCCTCAGTTATCCTCCACTAATATTCTGTCTCTCCTTGTTTACTGGCTGCTTCCCTGATGCCTACAAACAAACCTGTGTCAACCCCCCATCCTTAAAAAACCCTCACTTAATCCATCCATCCCTGCTAGCTATTGCCCTATATCTCTTGTGGCTAAACTCCTTGAAAGCCATCTACAAGTGGTACCTTCACTTCTTCCTCATTCTGTTAACTTTCTACAGTCTGGCTTCCATCATCATTCAACTGAAATTGCTCTCATAGTTATCAATTATCCTTTTTTTAAAATCATTTATCTTTAAGTGCCAAAACTAATGCCTTTTTCTCAGTCCTCATCCTTCTTGGAATTTGTAGACTTTGACTGTCATCCTCTTCTTGATTATTTCTTCTCTGTAAGTTTTCATGAAACTTTTCTCACCTGGTTCTCTTACCTGACTAGACAGTCTCTTCAGTCCTTGCTGGATGTAACAGTCCCCAAGGGTTTGCCTTGGGTACTCTTTTCCCTCTCAATTATTTTGCTTAGTGATCTTCAGTGACCTCAGCTCCTATGGATTCACCTATCCTGTATATGCAGATAATTCTCAGATCTGTTTATCTGGCCTTATCTTCTCTCTTTACCTCCAAACTTGCATCTCCAACAGCCTTTTGAACATCTCAAACTGGATGACCTGTAGACATCTTAAACTCATTGTGTCCAAAATTAAACTCATTATCTTTTCTCCCAACCTTTTGTTCTTAACTTCTCTATTCCTGTTGAGGCCAGATTTGAACTCACAAAGATGAATCTTTCTGACTCCACGCCCTGTGCTCTATCCACTGCACTGCCTAGCTGCCTCGTTACACCTGGACTGTTATAATAGCCTGATGGTGGGTCTGCCTGCCTCAAGTCTCTCCCTGATACAGTCTGTCCTCCAGTTAGCTGCCAAAGTGATCTTCTGAAAACAGAGGACTGACCATGTCACAGTCTGGATCCGGCCCATTTTTCCAGGCTTGTTACACATTATTCTCCTTTATAAACTCCCACCTAAACAGTTGGCTTGCCTTGCCCTGCACATGAGTCTACCTCACCTTCATGCTCCTTCCTTACCATTACCTCAAAGAACTCCTAGCTTCTTTCAAAACTGAGCTCATTTGTGAACTCCCTACAGGAATCCTACCCTGATATTCCCCATTTGTTGGTGTCTTCATCCTGAAAATTATTTTCGTCGTACTTTGTATTTAATTTTCTATGTATGTGCTTTTTTTCTCCAATAGAACATAAGCCTCTTGAGGGCAGGGACAGTTTTGTTTTTGTCTTTGTATCGCCAACAACTTGCACAGTGCTGGGTACATAGTAGGTAGTAGGCTTGTTGAATGAATAAATCACGCTGGAGTGTCATTTCCCTCCCCAGTAATTGTTAAGTAAATATTCATTGAATTGTCTGAAAAGCTGTTAGTTCATTGAGGATTCTTTCCCTCCCTTTCAGGTGAGTTGATTTCTTTCTGTGGGGGCAGGTAGCATTGCTTCTTTCCTTTTTATTTATTTGTTTAACAATTTTTTTAAAAACCCAACTAGCATTCTTAACAAAAACAGAATATGGAATTATATCCTTTGATAAATCCATAAATAGGAATTAGTTACATTTTTATTGAAAAATAGTAATTTATTTTCTGTATCCATTTCCAGTTTATTTTCTGGCTGTGTATTTAGTTTTGTTGTCTTTTTTTTTTTTAATACAGCAGTAGTCATTGTGCATATTATTCTCTTAATTCTTCTATCCTTGCTTTTTATTCAGTTGTTGGAGCCTGTCCATATTTGTATTCTTCATAACTGTTATTTTTTACAGTGCAGTCATAGTCCATTACATTGCTATACCACAGTTTATTCATCTGTTTCCCGGTCGTTGGACATGTAAGTAGTTTCCAGTTTTTCACTATAACAAATGAGATTTATGAATATATTTGTATGGGTAGTTTGTTTTTCCTTTAAATAGCATCTTTTGGATATATTCCCAGCACTGGGATCACTTCATTGAGGGAGGGGTATGACTGATTTTGTAATGTTTACTGTGCTTATCTGGTAATGCTTACCAGATCAGTCACCTCAGATAAAGCTTGGATCAATTTATAATTTTACTAATAATGAAATAGAGTGCCTGTTTCCCCACAAACCCACCAACATAAATTTTGATGGTTTGGGGCAATTTTTTTTTCAAATTAAATTGGGTGTTATAAAGGAATGTCCTAAGTTATTTCATTTGTTATTTCTCTGACTTTTGGAGAGTTGAACAACTTTTCAAGTGGTTATTAATGGAGAAGTTGTTTCCCCCTTTGAGAACTGTATTTCTTATCCTTTGACCACGTCTCCATTGGGATAGTAGTTCTCTTATTTTTGTATAATTAGGTTTGTCAGTTTTCTCTCTTATACTTTCCACCACTTCATAGTAGATAAAATTTTTTTGTCTTTTCTACAATTGAGGTAAATTTGTTAGTCTTATATTTCTGTATCTACTATGATTTAAAAATCATTAGATCGTTGATCCAGGTGGTTTACTTTAGTATACGATGTGAGATATACCTCAAAATTAAATTTTTTTTTTCCATATTGCTATCCAGTTTTCTGAAGTATTTTTCATTGAATGATTGCTTTTTTTCTTTTGGGTTTATTAAGCACTTATGTATACTAGATTCTCCTTCTGAATTTTCTGTTTTTCCATTGATCTATTTTTTAATCAAATATCTATTTTGATTATTTGAAATCTAATAGGGCAAGTCCCATCTCAACCCCTGTACTTTCTCATAATATTCTTGTTTGAGTTTCTATAATGGGTTTTTAATGGATTTATCTAATTTTACAAAGTAACTCATTAGTATTTTGATTGGTATTGAATTAAATCTATGAATTAGTTTGGGAAATAGTTTATATTAGTTTATTTTAGCTTTACCTCTAACCATTTGCAGTTGATACCTGATTTAAGTTAAAATAGTTTCACTTTTGACTCTGTAAAGGTCTCTTGTGTTTTGGTAAGTTTGTGACCAAATATTTGATATATTTTATCATTATAGATGATGTTTGTTTTCCTGTCAACTTTTCCTCATTTTTATTGATGATGTAAAAATGCAGATCATTTTTATAGGTTTATCCTATATTCTGCTCACTTGCTACAGTTACTTATTACCTCCTTTTTTTTTGTTTGTTTAGTCTCTTGGATTTTTAAGAAACATAATTATGTCACTGGCAAATAGAGATTTTTAACCTTTTTTTTGCCACTTATCCCTTTTATTTTTTCATATTGTTCCTTTGATTACTTATATTTTTAAATGTTTTAAATCATTGCTACATTTTATCCAAGACTTTCTGCATCTATTGATAGTTTTTTTTTTTTAAATTTTTGGTTGATATGATTTCTTGTATTGATTTTTTTTTTTCTTACATTAAACCAACCTTGTATTCCAGGTATCCTACTTGGTCATAATAAATAATTTTAGCTGGGTAGGGGAGAAATATATTGATGCATTCTTTTTCCAGTATTTAATATTTTTGCGTCATTCATTAATGATGTTGGACGTTAATTTTCTTTTTCAGCCTTATCTTTGCCAGATTTGAGGATCAAAACGATAAATGCCTCATAAAAAGAACTAGGTTGCATGTAGTCTTTTTAATTAGTAGTAGTCTATGTAATGTGGGGGTGGTTTGGTTTTTGAAGCTGTGGGACGATTCACTGTGACTTGGTTTGGGACTCATATCTTTTGGGGGAATGGGGAAATACAGCTCCTTAATAGTCTGCCTCATTTCTCTTTCCAAAATCAGTTTATTTAGATTATTTTTTCTGTTGTCAGTTTGGACATTTTATACTTTTATAGATACTCATCCATTTTTCTTCATGGCTCATGAAAGGATTTATTAGTATAAAGATATCCATGGTAGTCTTCAATAATTTTCTTAATTTATTTTTTGCATTTGTTGTGATCTTTCCTTTCCCATATCTAATTTTGATAATTTGATGTTCTTATTTCTTTTTTTAAAAAATTCTCACTAATTGTTTATCAGTTTTGATAATTTTTTTTTAAAGAAAAATAGCCCTTAGTTTTATCATTTTGCTTATGTCATTTTCCATTTTATTAATCTCTGTCCTGATTGTGATGATTTCTCTTTTCCTTTGGTGTGTTGCTTTGTTCCTTTTCTAAATATTTTCATTTTCTCTCTCTCTTTATATATAGTGTGTTAAAAATTTGCATCTGAACATTGACTTGACAATATCCCATAGATTGTGGAATGTTGTCCATAGCTTTGAGGTATCTGTTTTAAAACTTCCTCTTTCACCCTGGATTTATTTAATAAAGAGGTTGATTCAATGCATTATGAGAAGTAAATATAATATATATAATTTTTGCCTTCCAAAATTTACTTTTATGACTCATCTTAATAGCAATTCTTAACTTTTCCCATTAACTTTTCTTTGTAAAACTATTAAATCCATTGTTCAGCTCTATCATCTTATTTATCTTCTGGTTTGATTTATCAAATTCTGATACTAAGGTATTGAAATCTCCTAATGCTATTTATTTCTTACTACTTATTGCAAGACTGCCAGCCTTTCTTTCTAAACGTCTATTGTGTTTAGTGTATACATATTTAAATTTTATATTCTCTGATTTTGGATAATTTGAGGCATAATATAGTTTCCTTATTTGTCTCTTTTAATGCTTTCTGGTTTGAATTCAACTTTGTTGGGATTCATCAATCTTGTTTTTCTTGATTTAGATATAGCATTGACAAAATTTGGTCTAACTTTTAAAGTTTTTCAAATCTTTACTAAATGTTGAATTCTCCTTTTTGACCATTTTGTAGCCCATTTTGTTTTTCGCAGAAAGTTCTGTATATTTATGTTAAATATGACAGTTAAATTTGACTTCTGTCATTCTTTGATAGTTCTGTTACTTGTTTGTCAGAAAGGCATATCAGCTTCGCTTATTTCTGTTAATAAACCAAGCAACAAACAATACCTAATAGGATTCCTCTATTATGCTATTATTATTATTATTATTCCCTCGCAAAGATTTTAGCTTCACTTTGTTGATTGCTATGCTTTCCGTCTTCTCCCTTTTTTCCTCCCTCCTTTTTTATCTGGGCCACAGGACTCCCTTTTGTGACATGCAGTAATTTAGGAAACACACTAGTTTTATAATTGTTTGAGTAGTTAATTTTGGTTTCACAGTAAATATTCTTAGTACTTGCTACTTAAGCTTTGAAGGCTTCTGTTCTGGTGAAGGCTCTGTTGAAATACCTACATAATCCAAAATTCTTTAGAATTGCTTTCCTTCTTAAATGTCCATCTCTTTCCTTTAGACTGTTTACTTAGAATTTCTGGGAAATTTAATCTGGGCTATCGCCCATGGTTTTTAATTTTATATGTGTTGTATACTTTTCTGTTCATTCCTGGATCTTTTAGAAAAATCTAGTGAGTGCTTAATTGTTGTGTTTTTGATAGCTGGTGGCTGCCTTTGGCTGGCTTATAGTGAAGTTTAGAGATTAATGTGCTTAGGAGAGTTGAGTTTTCTGCTTTTCCTTAATTATGTGGATCCTTCCTATTTCCAGTGTCACTTGTTTTTCTTGAACAGAACAGTTACTTGTAAATACACGAGTAAGACTCTTTAATGTTTTACGGGAGCCCAGAGATTCTGAGGTTGCTTGTTCCTGAATTGTCATGCTATACAGTTTCCTGATGTCTTCCTGGTTCAGTTATTTTCTGGGCTTGTTTTTTCTGCTTTCACTGCTACATTGTCTTCCATTTGGTCTTCAATTTGCTTTTAATTTTAAAAATTGATGTTTTCAGACTATAATCAGTCTTTATAGGTGGAGTTTGAGGTTTCTTTCCCTCATTTTTTCAGTTTTTCTAAGTTTTTTTAGGTTTGTCGACATTTTTTAATTCTTCTGGTTTTCTTGCTTATTCTTCCCTAAATTCTTTGCGTGCATCCGTTTTGAAGATCTCAGGGTTCTTTGCACTGTTTCTCTTTCTGCCTACATTTCTTGGTACATTTATCCTTACTTCCCTTATTCTATAATATTTTTGTGTATTATATTGGAGCCCTTTGGTTTGCTCATTGTCTTTTTGGTGTGCTTTAATTTTGTGTGAATTTTGAATGATATGGTTTCTTTGGGACATTCTGTTGTTAGTTTTTCAGGGGAATCGTGAGGAGCCTGGCTCCCTTGTACTCTCTCACTGCTCCATCTTCTCAGAAGTCCCCCCATTGGTGTTTTCTATTTATCATTTCAGATGACAGGACTGAAACTGAGAGCATGGAGTCTGTTCCGAAGTGGGAAATTTCTGAAGAAGTCCAATCACAGGGCATATTATCATCAGGATTCCCAAGGAACATTCTCATGGGTCCCAACTGTGGACAAGCCTCTGGCAGTGATTGTAGGTTAGAGACACAGCCTAAAAAGCCACTGCGACACAGTCTCTCGTTATCTTTCTCAGGAAAAAGGTTTCAGGCATATAACATTTAGCAGAAGAGTGTCCTCACTGGGGAGAGAGGCTGTGTATGTTATCGAATGTGAGACAATTTTAAAACCCTCTTACATAAGAGAGATCCTGTAGAAGGGAGTGCCCAGGAATATGGTTTATATGACCACAGCTTCAAGCAGGATGCAGTTTTTAAGATGACAGAGAGAAACTCTATGAAACGAATCTGGGGAGAAAAAAAACCAAACAACCTCCTACAAAGTTAAATCAGAACTTATTCATCATCAGGAAATACATAGGACAGAGAAACCTATTGAGTGTAATGAATGTGAGAAAGGACCGACTCAAACCATATCAGAACCCCAGAAAATTCATACTAAAAAGAGACCTTGTGACTCTAAAGACTAGAAGAGTCTCCAGCAGGAGCTCATCTGACGTTAAACATCAGAGAATCTACAGTGAAATTAAATCCTAGAAATTTAATGAGTGTGGAGAAACCTTTAGCAGTAGCGTTTTGAATACGAGAGAATTGAATTGACAGTGGAGAGAAACTCTGTGAAGATAATGGATGTGGGAAAGCCTTCTATCAATTCAAACCTCATTAGATATCAGAATTTACATGGAGCCCCGTGAATGTAAATAATGTGGGAAGCTCTTCAAGTAGAGTTCAGCATGCCTTGATCAGAAAATTCAAGCTAGATTGACTTTCTGTGTAATGAATATGGGAAAGCCTTCATGGAGCACATCTTGATTGCACTTAAGATAAGTCATATTTGAGAAATATCCTATGAAGGGAAAGAATGTTGGAAAATCTTCAGGTAGATCTTTGATGCTATTAAATATCAGAGTGGAAAGAAACCCTTATGAATGTAAACAGTGTGTTTAAGGCTTCAACTAGAGCTTGGACCTCATTCAGCATCAGAAAATTCAAACCTGATATTTGAACCTTTGAATGCAATTAATATAGGAATGAGATCTACAGATTTGTTGCATCTCAAAGTATCCAGACTAGCACTAGATTTTATAAAACTTTGAAATTAAAGACCCTGATATTGCCAGGGTAAAAGACTAGAACCTACTACGAGTTTCTTTCTTGAATCAACTGCTCTCCCTAAGCACTCTTACCACAGTGAGCCCTGTAGAAGCTGCCTTCCCTGCATATTATCAAGTTGATGACCTCGAACATATGAAACAACCCTTTCAAGCCTCTTGAAGAAGTCATACCCCCATCAGCTTAGCTCTTACCTATTGACCACCTCTCTTTTTAGTCTGACCTGCCTTGTTCTTTTTCCCAACAACAACAACAACAAGAACAACAACAAAGCACCAGGTTTGGACCCGTGCTCCACCCACATCCACAGAGGCTCCTCCTAGCTCAAGCCAAGGATGGGGAAGGGTGTCACAATGTTGGGAAAACTTTTGACTCAGTATCTTTGATTATCAACTTTGTGCTATTGCTGTCTTGGGTTTGGGGTAGTGCCTATCTATGCGTGCCTTTTGGGATGTTTGGGAGTTGGGCAAGTTTTATGAGATTGTTTAGATACCTGTTACTGCAGTTTTGTGTTCCATCTTGTGTTTTGGCAAAGGTTTGTGTAGACCTTCCTTAACGTAGATCTAAGCCCTCACCTTTTACTAAGAAAAGATACTTTATTTTCTTGTTTTCTTGGGTGATCAGAAACTAGAGGGCAAGGGATCAAGGAAGGGGAGGGAGCTTTGAATTTGGAAAGTTTACTGGCACTGGAATGACAATATGGATGTATTTAATGCTGGAAGTTCAGGACAATCAGGGTTGAACCCCTGTGCCCTGTATAGGTGGGGCACACCCTAGCTTGAGAAACCCTAGATTGAGTTGGTAGCTATACGAGCGACATGTATCCATATATACATGTGTATGTGGATATATGTATATATAGATACACCTGTATATATGTGTGTGTGTGTGTGTGTGTGTGAATATATATGTATATATACACACACATATATATGTGTGTGTATATATATGTGTATATATATATATATATATTTTTTTTTTTAAAATATATATATATATGCGCCCAATCTCTGAACTTTTCATTTTTGACCTGTGGGACCAGATAAATTTTACAGAGCCTAGAACTACCTGTCTGTATTAAGTCATGTATATAAGGGCCTTGCAGACTCAGCCCTGTTGGTTGGTGGAAAATGCACCTCTACAGGACCAAGTATGCTAACTGTCTGGGCAATGCACCACATTGAAAGCACATCTCCGGGACGCATGGACCCTACTCACATGTTCTCAAGGATCGAATGCTGGATCACTACTCTCTCAAAATTTGATCCTACCATAAAATTGTTACCTAGGTTTTTTGCCCTGACCTTACTGTTCATGGAGTTGTATCTGTCCGGTGGGTTTTTTGAATAGATCTTCTCTGGATGTGCTGTCATTACCATGATATAGGGCTTTCTAATTATTCCAGGCTACAGCCCAGTATTGGACTTCTTTGCAGCTAGAAAAGTAAAAGTCAGATAAACTCGCAAAGACCTACAGCAGAAGGAGGCTGCTAATTGCTGAGTCCTGCATCCGTGCTGAGGCCCTAAAACTATTTTAGACCTTCCAGCCTCTTCAACTTATGTACCCGAGATCTCAATTATAAGAAGTTAAGGTCGTCCACCAAGTAGGGTTCTCAGAGACCTGAATGGGAATAGCCTGGTTCAGTTTCAGTTTTCAGAGACTAATAAATCAGTACCTCCAAATTGAAAGGCAAATACAATCCTTGGTGGAATTCTCTCCCTAGATTGTATTGGCCCATCACTCTTAGCTTAGTTTTGCATCTAGACAGGGCCAGACTATTGTATCTAGGCTTGAACAACTCCCACGTTACCTAAGCAGAGAAGAAACCTGTAGCTGGTCAATTTGTGTCTGTATTGTGACTGCATCTGCCATTATATTTAAACCTTTCTGTAAAAATACCCTGTTCCATAAGCAGAGGAAACCCCTATCATGGCAGTCTAAGCTAGCTGAGTCCTCTGTAAGTAAGCTCCTGTATATCACTTGCAGTTGTTAGTAAGCTTCTATGTGCAAGGCTGGCAGTCCTGATAGCTTTGAGTACTGGTAGACTCGATGTTACTCAAAGTTGGGGATTGGCATTACATGCCCCCTGCCCTCAAATGGGGGCAAGAAATTGTAAGGTTGAATTAAAAAAAAAATCTTTGTATCTGCCCATGGGGTCCAGGCTAGGTAGGGAGGTGACTTGGGAGAGCTGAGTGGACCAGAAGTCAGAGTGAAGGTGAAAATTAGATTTGGAGTCAGCAAATGGAAATGTTAGGAGGTAGGAAATTGCAAATAGGAATTTTTCAGAGAAGGAACAGGGGGATGCCAGGCAGTGATGGAAATGAAATGCAGATAAATAGTAGAGTTGAAGAGATTAAGGAACTTGGAGGACAGAGTTTTAGAGGGCTATCAGTATGGATTCAGCAGTTACTGAGGATGAAGAGGAAGACAGCCATTTGTTGAGATCATTGAGCAGGATTGGCAAATATCCTGGAAATGAATAGATTGTGTTTTCGTAGTGTGAACTTGAAGTTGCTGAGTGTAGGTTTCTTTGACTAATGAAAGTATTTGTGTTTGCTTTTTTAATTGCCCTTTGGTATTTTTGAAATTTTGTTTTAGGAGGGTACAAAATGTTTTTCTGAACTTAGATTTTTTTCATTATATTAAATGTAGGCTTTGGCATCTCTGATTTGTCATATGTCTTGTTTATTATTGTGATTTACTTTCCTAATAGTACAAAAAATACGTTTGTTAAACCATGCATTTAAAGATGATACCACTCTTTTCTTCATTGTGCTGCAAAAATAAATTTGCTGCCAATGTCATTCTGAATGTAATTTGTTTCAATTTTCTGTCTTGAATTTCTTTAGGTCCTGTTCTCCTATGGAACAACTTGTGCCCAGCAGGGGATATGTCTTTATCACTTTTATTATTTAGGTCCTTTTTTCCACCAGTTGTAAAACTGTTCAACATTTGATTCACCAAAATGTATTAATTGCCTAAGGCACTGTGCTAGGTAGGTAGTGAAGATACGGAGGTGGAAAAATGACAGAGTGTCTGCTATCAAGGAGCATGCGTTCTATATGTACACAAACAAGTGTGGTATAATATGTAAGGTATAATGTAATAAAAGCAGAGAACAAGATTGAGATTAAGCTCTGTGAAATAGGAAGGGGAGAACACTCTACGTTTGGGGGTTCATGGGGAATAGGTTGGGGCCTCAGGTAAGATCTTTTTCTTTTGCCCCCCTCCCCCTTTTCTGGTGAGGAATCAGAGGGCTTCCTGTATGAGGTGGTAACTAAGTTGGGCCTTGAAGGATGAGAAGCACTTCAGCAGGCAGAGATCTAATGAACGTGGCCTCTAGGTGTGGTGGATGGCCTTTGAGAAGGCACAGAGACAGGAATAAACAAGAAGAGACTGGGGAATATCTTGTAGTCCAGTTTGGCTGGAAAGGTAAGGCTGTGCCAGGCTGAGAAGTATATGTTTTGTCCAAAGGGCAGTATGAAGACACTGAAAGTGTTTTTTGTAGGGGAGTGACGTCAGACCTGTGCCTTAGAAAGTTTCTGGCAGCTGTAGAAAGGATGATTTGAAGAGGAAAGAAATATGGGGGAAAACGGAATGAGATTCCAGTCATTCAAGTGGTAGGAGATAAGTCTGAATTAAGGCAGTAGCTTTGTAGATAGAAGGAAAGGGATAGACTGAAGAGATTTATGGATGTAGAATTAATAGGACTAAGCAGTTGATTAGCTCTACAGAGAGAGGGAAGACTGAGAGAAAACATTTTGACTCTCGATGACTTCAAAGGATGGTAGTACTTTTATTATAGAAATGGGCTTATGTGAGATGTTGAGCTCCATTTTCAGTTTCTTGAGTTTGAGTTTCTAGCAGGACATCCACGTGGTGATGTTTGGCATGTAGATTGCAGTTGTTGCACCCCAGCAGCTCGTTATATGTAGATTTACGACTTGCCTGTTAAGATAGTTGAAGCTGTAGGAGTACATGAGATTAGCAAAGGGAGGAGGAAGAACAACCAACAAAGGAGAGTAAAAAGCAATGGTCATTTGGAAGAAGAACCTGGAAAGAGCAGTATCATGACAACTAGAAGGAGAAAATTTCGAAAAGGATGGAGGTTGACATTGGTTATAGAAAGGTTAAGGAGGATTGCTGACTAAAAGAAGGACGGTTGGATTTGGAAATTGAGGCTATTGGTGATCTCAGAGAGGAATTCTTTAGAGTGTTGTGAATAGAATCCAGATCACAAGGGGTTAAGGAATGGATGGTGAGTGAGTAATGCACTACTTTTTCTAGAACTTTAGTAATTAGGGGAGGAGAGATACAGGCAATGGTCTGAGGAGGTAGTAGAGTCAAGAACCTTGTTTGCTTTCTTTTAGGTGAAAGTTTGTAGGCAGAAGGAAAGGAGCCATAAAGGGAGAGATTTAAGCATGAGAAGAAGAAAAAATTACTGCCAGAGGAAGGTCCTGGAAAATGCTGAATGGATGGCATGGAATCAAGAGGGCCACTTAATCCTGGGACTGGCGGGAAAGTGGAAAGGATGAAGGAGGAAATAAAGAGATTTTGAGATATGGAGAAAGACAATGAGAGCTCATGACTGGTGGCTTCAATCTAATAGAAAAATAGAAGTCAAAGTGACCTGTTGATAGGATGGAAAGACAAATTTGGCCACAGTGTGATAGGGAGACAGGAGTAAAAGAATTGTCATGTACTGCTGAGTTCTCAGATAAAGTAGCAGGAATTTCTAGGGAAATCAGCTTAGTTTTGGGACTTCCTCTGAGAGTGATCACTGTTGCATTTGAAAAAGTAGAGAAAGAGGTAATATGGTGATAAAGTGGGATTAAGCCTCATCAGCGTGGGAATAATGGAAGGTGAGGGGATTCGAAAGTGGAAACAATGCATTTTGAAATGACTGACTATAGGATCAAGACAGAAGGGAGCAAATCGAATCCAGAACAGAGGTAAGAGCAAGAAACTAGAGATCATGAGGATGAAGAGAACCTTAAGCAGGAGTAAGATAATGGAGGACTTGGGAATTTCAGAGTTCAGCATCATGGAGGTGAAGCAGTTTCAGGTAATGGTAAGGTTTAAGCTGTGACCACTTTTCTAAGTGACTGAGATGAGTGGAGATGGGTGTTAGGAATTGAATTCAGTTGATTTTGATGAACCAAGATGACAGGGTGGTTGCAGTCAACAAAAATCCCGAAGCCATTGAGTATGGTGTCAGGGGTTGGGATGGAAAGAAGTAAGCCAGGTACTAAAGTTTTCCAGGAAGGTGAGAGAGTATCCTAGAGATCTGAAGAGGGTAGCAACAAGGCTTAGGGAGAGGTTAATAAAATTAGATGCCTTGTACTCTGAAGGAGTAAAGGATGTTGAGTGATGGTGGAAGAGCAAGGATGTGAAGGTAGCAGGTTTAAAAAATTCAGGTCAGCAAAGAGTGTGCCAATACATGACGTGCTGATTGATGGCTGGGGCTTGTAACTCAGTGAGGTTGCCATCAAAAGAGGATGAAGCCAGCTTTCAATTAGTGCTAGTAGGTAGGAGAAATGGAGGAGATTGAGAATATTTGTTAACAGGAAAGAGGGTTTTCCAAGAGGGTGGAGAGGTGAGGATCATGAATGAGAGATGTGAATTTTAGATAAGATACAGTCCCTGTACCAGTCTAGGTAATAGAAATAGTTAAAAAATATTACATGAGAAGTACAAAACAATGCAGAATGAGATCCAAGGGCCAAGGGTGGACATGTCTGTGGCTGAAGATGAGAGTGGGCAAAGGAGCATTGAAAGGGATTTTTGCAGAGTTAGGTGGTGGTTCTGAATGTGCAAGGGAGCAGTAGATTATAATCTGCAGCCTATAGAATAGGGAGTGCTGAATAGCTTCCGGAAGCTGATACTTAGAGCATA